CTGAATCGGCAGGGAGAAATCGACCTCTCGGGGACGCGACAATCGATCCCCGAATCGACGCTCTTACTCCACCAGCGGAGGTGGGAGAAAGCGCCGTCGACGGGAAGCCGCAGAGGTCGATTTTGCCGCCGTCCTCACAGCGGGGTAAGTCGGCTGTGATACGTCGAATTCAGCTACGCTATTCACGTAGCTGAATTTGCGTATCTTAAATCGACTCCCCCCTGTAGTGTAGATGTAGCCTAGGATTTAGCTCATAAGAAGGTTTAGGTGTGAGTGCAGTGGATGAAGGTGGTGGAAGTGGGTGAGCAATAAGCTCCAAGCAATTTAGCTAGCCAGACCCTTCAGTTAAACTGACCTTTTCTTTTACCTGATTCATGAAGATCTGGTAGAGAATAATGAAATTTCCAGAAAGAATTTCATTGTAATCCAAATGTCTAAAAGAAGATCGATATTTACCATAGAAATAAAGGTTATCAGCCCATAATGATGCAAAATGTTTCAGTTATTATCATCCTTTGTCTAACTACTTTGGGGGCTGTTTTAAATCTTAGGTGCAAAAGGCGATGTGGGTTTTCCAGGATCCCCAGGAAGCCCGGGGATTCCTGGCTCAAAAGGAGAAGCAGGATTTGTTGGTCCACAAGGTCCTCCAGGCCAACAGGGCACTCCTGGACTACCAGGGAGATCAATGGAAGGTCCTAAGGGAAACAGAGGACCCCCAGGTCAACCTGGACTTTCAGGTAAGTTATTAAAAATCTACAAACTGTAAAATATCTAATGTTTATGGTGATGATATGAGTTTATTATTTATTTTTATTACTAGTCAGTACTAAGGATATTAGTGATATCTCCTTTCTATTAATAATATAATTTCATATTGTTTTGTATTAAAGTCTTTATTATGTTTCTTAACTTTTTATAGATTTTTTTTTAATATAAATTGAAATCTTCCTAGTTGTCCTGGAAAAGCATTCTCCCAATGGACAGTTTTGCAGTGTATCCTAAAACTGATCTGCCTTTGGGGTAGTTTAATCTCTCCTCTTAGCTCATTCCATCCATGAACTCCCTTGACCCAGACCACTTTATCTGCAACTCCGATGTGCTTCATCCAGGGTTTTATTAGTGGCTTTGTACCAGAGAGTGCAGTCGTCTTTGGCAAGCCATGGATGGACATATCATAGCTGATGCTGCTGGGTCGCAGCCTGTTGATGTATTTGAAAATTGGGGATAAGGCCTTGAGTTGGCAGTGGAAGTGGATTAGAAGCCAATGGTGAGTGTGGAACACAGGAGTGATTAGCTCATTGCACCATGGGTTGCCAAGTTCTGCATGAGCAGAAGCCTCTACATTGCTTCTTTTTCTGCCCCAGATACAATGAATTACAGTAATTCAGTTTGGAGAAGATTAATATGTGGATCACTATTGCAGATCCTTGTCCAGAGAAAATGTGAAGCCTCCTAGCTTCATATAGCCTAAGGAGAATTAAGATAGTTCCTTTCTCAATCTGCTTCTCCAGTAGCAGTGGTGAGCTCAGCAGGACCCTGAAGCTCTGAAACTATTAGAACTGGAAACTGAACCATTGGATAAGTAGGTCCGTGACCTAGCTAGCTGTTGAAGCATTCCTGCTCCTTACTAGCTTTACTTTGATCTTGCCCACTTTAACTTGAACCATCTGGTCCTAATCCAAATACTGATGTCTTATAGAAAACAAATTTGCCAAGAAACTTTTGCCCACCCCTCCATTGTAGGTCTACCAGGTCCAATGGGACCACCAGGATCTCCGGGCCTGGAAGGAGCCAAAGGAGAAAAAGGAAACACGGGTTGGCCTGGACCACCTGGAAGACTTGGAATCAAAGGTGATCCGGGATTCCAAGGCATTCCTGTAAGTTATTTTAACTACCTTAGTGATTTCTCCAGTGTAGCTCAGTAGCACATAGTGGTCATTTTAGTTCTTCCAGTTAATGGATGTATTAATCATAGATATTTCTTTTTCAAACTAATAATACTTTATATCCATAATGCTTTCAGACTCTCTGCTGACTGTGTAAAGTCTGTTTCAAAACATTTCAATTCTCTGTTTTAAGGGCTGCCTAACAATGAGCTAATGAACTTTATAGGCAGAAAATAACAACATACAGACAACCAGCATATAGTTTAGGGTGTATTAATGGTACAAGGTGGCTGCAGCTCATCAATGAGTTGCAAAAGAATTTGTACTTCATTTTAAAGATTGCATATTTCACAATAAATTGCATACTGAAAATATCTGAGCTATTTAGATAAGATATGAAACATTTCAAATTAAGTAAGTATGCTTTCAGTTCTGTAAATGATGAACTATAGCTGTTGATGTAGAAATTGAAACAAGTAAAGATATAAATACATTATTGTCATATATCAGTCCTCTTCTCCCAGCCCCTAAAAAAATCCCTTCAATACTGCCGTGCATCTCCACCTACTAGAAAGAATGAGGTGAAAATCTCTGTCCACTAAAATCTACAAGGCTGTATACCAGGGATCTCAAACTCAAATTACCACGAGGGCCACATGAGGACTAGTATATTGGCCCGAGGCCCGCAGCACTGAAACCTTTTCATACGATACAAAAGTATAGTCAAAAATGAAAAAAATGAAGAGCAATGTAGTATGCAATTAAAAGTCAACGTATTAACTTTTTAAAAACTGTAATGCGAAGAGGGGTTTTCATAAAATATAAACTCCTGTAACTATTCCTTATGTGGTCAGTAACACTGATGATGATCTATACCGGGGTCTCAAACACGTGGCTCGTGGAGTTATTTCCTGCGGCCTGCCATAGGTGCCAACTCTCTCCTGCACTGCGTAACCCTTTTCACACACCCCGGTCACAGCACAAAGTCAAGAGGGAAACTGAGGCTCGCCTAGGAATTATAAAAATGTTACAGAAAATTTCCACTTCATCACAAACACTGTCTAGTGTCCCAATGGAGACACCCCTGTGCAATGGGGTGGGGGACCTCTGGGTGCCCAGCACCCCTAACAGAGAGACCCCTGGGCGATGGGGGATGGTGCCCAGTGCCCCTAACTAACAGTCACAGGGGTCTCAAACATGCGGCCCCGCTCCTGCCCTGCCTCTTCCCACCCCTTCCCCACCCCCATTCCAACCCCTTCCCCAAATCCCTGCCCCTGCCCCACATCTTCTCCGCCTCCTCCCCTGAGGGCACCGCGTCCCCGCTCCTCCCCCATCTCTCCTGGAAAATCCTAAGTGTCGCCAAACAGCTGTTTGGCAGCGGGAAGCGCTGGGAGGTAGGTGAAGGAGCGGGAATGCGGTGCGCTCGGGGGGGGCAGAAGGGCGGGGGAAGGGGAGCTTGGCTGCCGGTGGAGTCGGCGCCTATGATGGGCCGCAGGAAATAACACTGCCTGCAGGCCACATGTTTGAGACCCCTGCTCTATACCCTTCCTCTCAGTATTTCTGCCTCCTCATTTCTTGAAGCACAGTTCTTTTCAGGTTGTAGCTCATTCTTTCTTCTAGCAGGAAATTAAACTAAAATATAATAAAACTAGATGAATAAAAGCAGAGATAAGAGCGTAGGCATGGCACCATCACACTCATTGTACAGGATGAAGAGGGACTCAGGAAAGATGTCATTAAGATCCTAGTGTGGGAAGCAGGATTCCAATGGTGGACTCAGAGGAACAGATTCTTCATAATGTAAAGCCACACTGGATGTTCTTCTGTCTCCAAGGGGCTGCTTCTACAATGACACTTAAACCAGTGTCTTGAATTTTTTAAGTTGGATCCTTGTTCGTCACCAGCTTTCCGTTCAGAGTAGCTGCATGCCATTAATAACTCTGAGAGACAGATGTTTTCAACATGCAGTGATAGCAAGATTCAAATGTGTATTCTCTTTACTAAGTACCCAGAGTACTTATAAGCAGAACTGAATGAAAATCAGAATTTCTGTCCCACAGGAAATTCTGATATTTTAACAAATGATTTGTTTCCAAATCAGGACAAAGAATTGAAATTTTTCACAAAATGAAGTTCCAGTCATTTTCAATTGAAATATAACATTTCAACATTCCCAAATCAAAATGTTTCATTTTGGTTTTATTTAACTGACCTGAAACATTTCATTTCGAGTCAGTTCAACATTAAACTGAATCTTCCTATTATGTTGCATTGCCTCAAGGGAGTTGTGGTTCAAGTATCTGATGTCCCTATTCTCTCTCATGGACCAGTCTCCCAGGCCAGACTACATCTCCCATGAAGCACCGAAAGCCATATGACTCCTGTGATGCACCATGATGCTGGGTCAGAGGGGAAACTATGTTGCATCCTGGGAGATATAGTCCAGCCAGGGAGGCAACTTCTAGGAGAGAATGTCATATGAACTACAGTTACCATAACTAATGTACCATGATAGGGAAATGCAATTTAAAGTTGAATTGACTCAAAACAAAACATTTCAGGTCAGTTCAACAAGCTGAAATATTTCCTTTCAGGTGGAACCAACTCAGAGCAGCATATTTCATTTTGGTTTTCCTGACAGAAAATTGAAAAACTTTGGCAAAATCAAAATTTTCCTGTTGATTTTGCAGAAACTGCATTTTCTTTTGAAAAATCATTCTGATGGAAACTTCCCAACCAGCTCCAATTGTAGGAGTCAGGGTGGGGAGCACAAGTATACAGTTTGTTTGGGGGAGGTAGCCTTAGACCCCTTGCCTAAGTGCTGCTCAGACTCAGGCAGGTAATCAGGCAATGCAATACTCAGCTTATGCACATGGCATGCTCCTTTTAAAAGAAAATAATTGATGTGTGCCATGTGCTTTATGACTACAAGTAACCACATCATTTTATTTTCTGAATACCTCCCTTCACCTTTCTGCTGTCATTTCTCCCTGTGGTACCCATCATGGTATCTCTAACGTATTTTGTACATTTCTTAGTGCCAGGGGAGTTAGGTTCCTAAATACCTTTTTGGATCTGGAACTACATCTGTATTTCCTCTGTATACCTATGGAGCTGTATGCAAATGTTATATTATAATAATGGCTCCAGTCCACTGTAGTATTTAGGACTTGTGTTAGCAATTTGTTGTGGGAATCTCCAAGCTATGCTTAGATGCTTATTCTGGATCAATTGAAACAGAAACTAGAACCAGCTTCTACTGAAGGATGCTGTCAATAAATTGTATTGGGTGACTAATGAGTTTACTATGCCTGGTGTGAGTCTTACAGTATGTGGCCTTGATTTTCCTCTAGCACAGGCCTAGTCTACACTACAAAGTTAGGTCAACATAAGTTGCCTTGCATCGACCTATTTATACACGTATCTACACTCAAATTTGTCTCCTGCCGACATAAGCACCCTGTTATGGTGATGCAGTAAAACCACCTCCCCAAATGGCATTGAGCTGTAGTCAAAGTATTGTGGTTGACACAGTTCAAGTGTAGACATTGCGTGACCTATGCCAATTCTAACAGTCCTCCAACAGTTGTCTCACAATGCCTGACACTGACAGCTCTGGTCACAAATGTTGAACTCCACTGCCCAGGGGTCACAAAGACCAGAAGCCCTTCCCCTGTTCCTTTAAAATCCTGTGTATTTTTGAAATGCCTTTCCCTGATTGCTGGGCTTGGTGAGCACACCTAGCAGCTTTCCCTTGTTGTGTGCAGCTACCCAGACCACTATGCCAACTACATGCTCTAGACACATTCCTGCCTGGAGTAGACAGGAGGTATTGGATCACTTGTGAGGAGAAGAGACTGTTCAGGCACAGCTATGGAGCAGCCATAGAAACATGGACATCTACGAGAAGGGGATGCAGACGAAGGGGTACTACAGGGAGCAGTGCCGCGGGAAAGCAAAGGAACTGTGGCTGGCATACCACAAGGCCCGGGAGGCCAACACTCGATCTGGTGCTGAGCCACAGACGTGCCATTTTATGACAAGCTGCATGCCGTACTTGGCAGTAACCCCACCAGCGCCCCACAGACCGCTGTGGATACCTCAGAGATGTAGACCTCTAGCATGAACAGTGAGGAGGAGGGAGGGAGATGCGGTGCGGCGGGGCAATCTGGCTATGCCATGAGCCAGGACCTGTAGAGACTCTGCTGCAGCCTAGCCAGTCCCACTAGCCAGGCATGGGCAAGCACAGTGCAAGAGATGGAATCTTGGGAAAGTGAGTGCATGCATTTTCCCTTTTAATGTTTAAATGTAAAGATGGCGCCTGGTCCATCCCAAGTTACTAAAGACATGTATCGACTTTTCATTGTTTTACTTATCTGAGAAGAGGTGATAGTACAACAAACGGAGCTAGATTTGTTATCTTCTTTTCATTTCCCTGTAGGATTAGGCGTTGGAGGCCCTGTGGAGCAGGTTGTGATGTACCTAGGAATGTCCCTTGTGTCCTCCTGAGAGATCTTGATGAAACTTTCATAGAGTTGCTATGCAGTTCTCTCCCGAAGGTTTCTAGGGATGTCCATCTTATTTCTTCTTCAGCGGTAGGACACTTTTCCACACTGCTCAGCCATCATTTTGGCAGGCACCATTGTAGTAAGCAGGCTAGTGGCATGCGGTCCTGTGTGGCTTTGGGATGCCCGCAAAGGCTGTGTTCTCTGTGCTGCTGTGACACTCAGGAGTGAGATATCACCTAAAATCACCACCATCTATGAAAAATAGTGCCAGCACTCAGTGCCGTTGCCCTGTACTTGTACCCACTGAAATAGAGACCATATTGTGTTATGCAACTGAAAATGTTAATACCCTTCTCCTTTCCCCACACCTGGCCCCTCGCTGACAATACTCACCATGGCTGGGGCGGGAGAATAGTGCTGTGCAGAGGCGTGCCGCAGCTGAAGTAGCAATAAGTATGTCTTATAACACATTTTTATGGGAATGAGGGAAGGGAGTTTTGAAGCTTATCTTCCATCGTGACTGTGCATACAATTATACATATTTCCATTTTATCTGGAGCTGCTGCTGTTGCAGCCTTGAGGAGTGACCCTCCACACCTGGGGAATGCCTGACCCTATTGAAGAGGAGAAGGGATGATATGTTCTGTGAGATCTTGCAAACCAGTGCTGCACTGGACTGTGAACAAAGGGTCTGGTGGGCTAACATGGCAGACAGTATGGAGAGGGATAGAGAGGACAGACCCAAGAATCCCATCAGGAAAAAGAAAGAGAGATGCACCAGGACATAATGAGGCTTCTCAGGCAGCTAACACAAATGCTGCTGACCCTTGCTGACCAACAATCACAGACTTGCCACCCTTTACAGTCCCTGGAGAAGTCCATGGTGGCAGCTCCCTGCGCCCCTCAAAAATCCTCTTGGAACCATGGATCTCATCCCTAGCCCTACCACTCCATGCCAGGGGACAGTAAGGACAACCACATCTTCACATCCATGACCTATGAAAGGCACAGTTGGTGTATGTATCCAAAATGGACTGCATTTCTGCACTGAAATGGACAGAACTGTTTGTATTGTATTGTATTGTTCCTTTTCCTTCACATTGTTTCATTTCACAGCTTTTGTCAGTGAATGCAGGTCTATATTTTGAAAATAAATTCATTGTTATGGTTCACCCCACATACTGCAGAATGTATGGCAGGATGCAAAGCTCCTAGTATTTGTAAGTGTACAGCACCCCAGAGGTCATAGGTTCAAGGAAACACGCAGTCATAGGTGTAAATGTACAACAAGCACTGCATAATTCATAGTTTCAGTGAAAGACAGTGTAATAGTTATAAATATGCAACAAAACAGAATAATTCATAGGTTCATTATAAGACATAAAGAGTTCTATGTATAAATGTACACCAAGCACAGTTCCTAACAGCTCACAAACCTTCAGGGCCAGAGCACAGTCAAACATGTGCCTGACCGTGGAAATGCTCTTTCAAAGCCTCCTGTAACCACATAGCTCCATGCTGCGGTCTTGTAATGGCCCTTGTGCTTGGCTGTTCAGAGTCAGCAGACATCTCCTCTACCCTGGCGTCAACTCCCCTGCCCCCTTTGCCTCACATAGATAATGCAGCAGAAAACAGGCAGCTATAACTATTCAGCTATTTTTCTCACTGAGATCCAGTCTACCAAACGCATTTTGTCATGCTTCATCTATCATTTTGCACCTACTGAACTGGTAGTTGAATCTTTCCTTGGTGCTGTCAAGGTGGACAGTGTACAGCTTCATAAGCCAGGGGAGCAAGACGTAGGCTGGGTCTTCCAGAATCACTAGTGGCATTTCAACATCACCACTGGCAATCCGGGGGTCAGGAAAGCATGTCCCTACTTGCAGCTTTCTGAAAGTCATGTGTTCTGAAAGACGCGAGTGTCATGAACCTTCCCTGATCAGCCCTCATTGATGTTGGTGAAGCATCCCCAGTGATCCACCGATGCTTGCATAACCATAGATAAGTCACCGTTTCTGTTGATGTACTCTGTGGCAAGGTGGGCTGGTGTCAAAATAGGGATATGCATGCCGTCTATTGCCTCACCACAATTTGGGAACCTGATTGCTGCAAATCCATCTACTATGTCCTGCTGATTTCAAGAATCACAGTCCTGCATAACAGAAGACAATGAATGGCCCTACACACTTGCATGACAACAGCCTCCGCTATGGATTTTCCAGCTCCAAAATGATTTCCCACTGACTGGCACCAATCCAGAAATGTAAGCTTCCAGAGTGTGATCGCCACTCACTTCTCAACGATCAACACTCTCGCTCTCATTCTGGTGTCCATGTGCTGGAGGAATGGTGCGAGCTCGGAACTCAAATCCGGCAATGTGGCTTTGCACGTCCGAAAGTTCTGCAGCCACTGCTTCATATCCAAAATCTGCATTATGATGCAATCCCACCAGTCAGTGCTCATTTCTCCAGCCCAGAAGCTGCGCTCCACCATTGGCAGTTGCTCCATGAATACCATCAATGACCTTGTTTTTCACTATGTCCCTCAACAACCTGTCCTCAAAGAAATTGCCATGTCTCCTGTTATTATAGTTCTTCTTGCGGCTCTGATAGTACCGGAGAATCATGCGGCTTGTATTTGCAACTCCTGAGAATGGTACAGAGGTATGGCGATCCATGCTTCTGTCAGAGATAGCAAACACCAAACAGTGCCATGTGGTTTGTGGGATCTTAAAAAAAACAACCCACATAATTATGGGATATGGATGGCATTATGGGATATGAAGAAAGTGGCATGCTGGGAACTTGAGCCCTAGCTCCCAGAGATCCCTAGGTGAGTTATTTATATACCACAACACATTGCAAAAACTTCCCAGAAGGCAATGTGCCAGATGGCAGCACATGGCACACTGGGATACCTACTCATAATGCACCACACTTTGCATCGACACAAGTATTCCTGGTGAGTGCATGCAGCGCCGATGTAAGCAGCCAAGTGTGCACGAGCATGAGCGATACACTAATTTTGGCAGCTGTATGTTGACGTAACTTATATTGACCAAAGTTTGTAGTGTAGACACGGTCTTAGACTATTGTAAAACTGTTATAACCAATTTCACTGGAGTAGTTCATTTAGACCAGCGTATATGAAAGGAAAATCAGGCCTTGGGTGTTAAACTTCTTCGCTCCTAGATCAGTTCAGCACTGCTGAAAAGACCAAGTCCCCTGCAAGGGAACTTGAGGCTAATGAGTAACTTTCATCTCATTCCATATATGTACTAATCCTTTCTCTGACTTGAAATATCCTATCTTCCCCCTGGGGTCACCTGAGGCCAGCTCCCTGAGTCTAGGATACTCTGAGTGAGTGCTCTATTTAGTGATACTTGTCTCCCTTCTAATATTTTTTCATGGTGTCATTTCCCAAGACTCAAGGCCACCTGATTAGTTAAACTTTTATTGAGCCACCTTATTTTGTCCCAGTGTGTTCTCAAGATAAAGCATAGCATAGCACAGATCATCACACGGGCTGCTCTACCTGCTTACCACAAGCCTTTGTTTCTGAACAAAGCCTTCTCATTTGAGCAACGTAACATTAGAGAAGGACCATCTTTGGATCAAATGGCTTGTCTCTGATTTTAGAAATTACCGACTTGAGTGTTTTTTACAGCTTTCCAAAATCACATGATTATTTGAGAGGTGTGTCATAGCAATATAGGATAACTCATGTCTGGCTTCTTCTTATACAGGGTACTGATGGTTTACCAGGAAATATTGGTCAAAAGGGTGATATGGGACCTCCAGGAGTTCCCGGGTTTCAAGGTGAGGAGAAATATGTAATTTGTGTGTAGTTACAAAATTATTGTTCTCTAACTTCATGTAAGGTAGAGGGAGATTGTGCTTTCCCCCCCTCCTTTATCAAAAGAAAACATTCAAAGCATGTTAATCTAGCATCCCACAAATATCGTAGCCTTAACTTTGAAGCTACCTCAGAAGCCAGAACAAGGACAACATGAATTTGTCAGTAATTTTTTCCCTTTCCTTGTTCTGTAGATTGTACAATTCATGTTTGCTTTTGAAGAAAAATGAAAAATCAATGTTTGTATGTTCTAAGAATAGTCAGGGTTTTCTTTGAGATGTGGTGTGATGTGCTAAACTTGAGGCTGCTTGCAAATAGACAAACCTTTTCTATCACTTCCACTATCATTATTATGTTTATTAAAATTTTAAGTGTAAGAAAGAATGCAGCTGTCAATACATTTAAAGTGTATCTGAATTTAGAAATCTGAGTGTGAATTTGTCTTCAGTTATCTTTTAATTGAATATTGATGGCAGTTTTATGTCATCACTTCATATGCCCTTTTCCTGGAAACATTTGAAATCAAAGGAACTGCTCATGTGGGTAAAGTTACTCATGTGTCTAAGCATTTGCAGGATTGGATCCATTATTCAGCACACACAGTTTTAAAACAAGAATTAATGGCTTAAATTTTCATGTACATCTGACTTCAGGTCCAAAAGGATCTTCTGGCTTCCCAGGTCTCAAGGGAGAACAAGGTGACCAAGGGTTTCCTGGCTCTAAAGGTATGGTAAGCTTATATATTTTTCAGATTTTTAAAATAGGTATTTTTTTTACTTAAAGTGGCATTATATCACCCTTTGCATTTTGTACAACATAAAAAAACCCCCAGAATGTGCAAGTGAGTTAATAGAATCTCAACCTCAAAATGTACAGACTGTAAAGATAATTTACAATTAGATGTAAGCTCTTAGTTCTTGGAGCTAGGTTTCTATCCCAATATATTTGTACAGAGCCTAAGGGCACAACGGGGCCCAATCCTTATTGCGACCTTTGGGTGCTAATGCACATAATTATTAATTATTTATATTGTCAGATAACAAACACTCTCTTTTGTATTTGCTTCATCAATTTTGACAGGTTTACAAGGTCCACCAGGTCCTCCAGGTGCATATCAGCTTCATAAAGGGGAACCAGGTTTACCTGGACCTGTCGGACCAGTTGGTCCAAAAGGGTTCCCTGGACTTCCAGGTCCAAAAGGACAGCAAGGTGAGAGGGTCTTAAGTTGCGTATAGGTGGTGCATAATGTAAAAAGAAGCTATGACAGGCTGAGCATTAGCAGGCTATTGGCATAACTTAAGCTCTGTGCAGCTGCTTCTCCAGCCATGTCTGTAGTGGCTGCCTATAGGAAAGTGATGCTTCTCTTTCAAGTCCCAGTACAGCAGAGGTTCTCAAACTGTGGTCCATGGACCACCAGTGGTCCGCAAGCGCCATTCAGGTGATACACAGATAGTTCCCTCTAAGGTGTGCGCCTGGGTGGCTGCACACAAGAGAGTGAAAGACCACCCACCTAATTAGTGGAGCCGCGCAGCGCGTGGCTTTTCTAATTAGGTGTCTGGACCCTGGAGAAGATGCACATGTAAGGTGAGGTGGTGGCCTTGGGGGGAATAGGCGGTAGGTGGGAGGGGGGAGGGGGGTGAGAAGAGGGGGTGGGGAGAATTTGGGATGTGCAGTGCTGCGGTGGCCAGAGAAAGAGACGACTTTTCCCAGCTCCAGGGCTGTGGCTGCCAGGGAGAGTCGGCCCTCCTTCCCAGCCTCAGCTCGGGGGATGCCGCAGCGGGGGAGAGAGGGCACATCCATCGCATTAGAAAGATAAGACTACTGATATTAAAATATGAGTTGTGTGCTTTATTTGTAGAACAAAAAAACCTTAATTATTATTAAGGGTTTTTTATATAGTGCTTTTATCCAAAGCGCTTTACAATAGTTAGCTAATGGTACAAACAACATTTGGAAACATCACTAAGTGGTCCCCCGAGACCCTCAGCAATTTTCAAGTGGTCCGTGAAAAAAAAGTTTGAGAACCACTACGCTACAGGAATGCCAAAAGCAGGTCTTCAACAAGGAGTCCCCACTTTCTCTCTTAGCCCAGTGTCTCTGTGGAACTGAGCAGCATTTAGCATGAAACTTACATAAAACACCTGAACTAGAAAGTTTAAATTTTTTAAAGATATTAAGAGAAGTAGGGAGAAAGGGGATGAGGGGTCAGGAAAGTATAGGGCTGGCATAAGTGGCGAGGGCCGGTAGCATTTTGGATTGGCAAGGGGGAGCATAGGAAGCTGCAGTTCAGAAGGGTTCCAAAATCAGTAACATTTTAAAGGAGAAACTCCTTCCCCCTGCTCTCCATTATTTTATATGGAGGTGATGGGGAAATAAGGTGAAAGACAATTTGTCTTTTTGCATTATCTATTTAACATAAAGGGCATGATGATTCTTCTTGGGGCCATATCCATGCACTATTGTGAATTGGTTAAATGACTGTGAAATCATCCAAATGACTTCACTGTCCAATCAGAATATGGCTTTGGCCAAAAAGAGTCTGTAGCCATGCTCCAATAGTTATCTCAAAGCCTTAATGTCACACTGCACTATACAGTATCTGCAGAAGAACAGGTGTAACTGAAATATCTGGAGCAGAGTGGAAGTACCAGTTTGGTGCTGGTACTGTTAAACTGCATCCCCTGCATACAGCTGTCTGGTATTTAAATGAGAGTGAAAATACACTCAAACAGCTACAAAATAAAGCACTGAACTAACGGGTAAAGCCAAAACCAATCTGGCAAAGACTCATAGACTCATAGACTTTAAGGTCAGAAGGGACCATTATGATCATCTGGTCTGACCCCCTGCATACTGCAGGCCATAAAACCGTCCCTACCCCTTCCCTGGACTCTGCTGTTGAAGTCCCCAATCCTGTTTTTAGTGACCTAGCAGGGCTGTGAATTTCCCACAACTTGTTACTGACTTTTGGCTCTCTTTATGGGCTTTTATTTGAAGCTCCTTCAGCCTTGTACTCCTGCTGTCATAGAATGAGGAGAAAGGCCTGTGTGTCGTCCTTACTGTCTGGACAAATGCTAGCAGGAAATCGGTTGCTACAGATGTGCACCTCCAGTGGCTATATTTTGATCTTCTCCCATCCCACACCCCTCAACACCCTTCCCCCAGCAGGCACCCCCACCTCCCTGCTCCGGGTACTGGCATTTACCTATAGGTACTGGGCATGTGCTTTTTTCTGTACTGCCAGCCCATAATCCAAAAAGCAAGAACAAGTATGTCTCTGTGATCCAATTGTAATTATTTCTTATATTTCAACAGGAGTGACAGGACCTGAGGGTATACCCGGGCAACCTGGTAATCCAGGATTTGATGGTCAACCTGGTCAGAAAGGAGAACCTGGTCCTTCTGGTCCTCCAGGTAGGTCTGTGTATTCTTTAAAGACTCTGTTCTTCATTCAAGGGACTATAAAAGATTGCTTCTTAAGAAAAGTAAGGTTGGCAGTTGGATAAAGATGGCACAAGAAGCAGAGACACATAACAAAAACACTTGTATCATTTAAAAGCACATGGTCATTGAAGGATTGCTGGCACCTCCAAGAGATTTTTTGATGTAATTTAGTGACAGATAAGGCTATTTCACATAGAATTAAATGGTCACATGTTATTTGCCCCAGTCCTTATAAAAGATGGGGGTAGATCAGATACCAGATAAAGAAAATACAGCTACAGTGAATAAAAGATATACAGGTTCAAAACCTCCACTTTTCTCTTAGGGTAGAGCTACCAGTTATAACTGCAGGAGAAGATGTGTTAGATGCAATTATTAATAATGAAAAGACTCTGGATTTAGAGAGATTACCGGTGGAATTTTATAATACCTTTATTGAGTGTCAGGCGTCTTATTTTACGTGGCTTAATCTAGAAAAGAGATGACTCAGAAAAGAAATGTTCACAGTCTAGAAATATCTTCCAGATTGAATAATTTATTCTTTTGAATATATTGTTTAGTCCTCAAAGTGATAGCCTGGTGATCAGGAATTGAGAATTTAAGATCTCTGCCTAGTTTTAATGAAACAGAAGTTAATATGGTACTTTGATTTAATTGATTTTTTAGCCTAAATAGGACCTGAAAGAGTATTTTTATTTTGAGGAGATTCCAGGTTACATTGGAAGGATCTCTAAAAGTTTAAGCCTGATCTTTAGCAGCACTTTTAAAAGCAAAGAAAGAAACAGAGGTTTTGAATAAATGAGAAAATCACTGCACAAGAAGGTGCTGAATTAGGTCACCATTAGGAACACTGCGCTCAATTCTGGTTGTCTTATTATAAAAATGGTATTACAGAGATGGAAAAGGTACTGCAGAGGATAGCCAGAATGATTCAGTTATTTGCTGAATTTAGTTCTACAGCAAGGCAGAGAGACTAGACCTCTATTCTTTGGAAAGGAAGAAACCTCAGTGAAGTATGTACAGTTCTGATGGGAATAGAAAGGATAGAAGCTACAAGAGTATCTGATTTTCTGTCAATTTCAGGAACTAGTGGCATAAACCAAGCTAGGGGAAAGTCAGGTCCCAAAGGAGTCTAGGCAGAACTTCAGTAGGCAGCACTGGTGCTAGACCATGTATGGAATTCTCCACAGAAGGCAGCAACAGGAACAGCTTAATTAGGGTTCAAGGCAGAGTTAGACAAGTATATGGAGCGGGGGGATGGGGGACACACACAGACGACATTACAGAACATACAAGAGAGTGTATGAATCCAGCCTGGGATGCCAAACCCTTATTAATCCCTACACTATGTTTGTTTATATAAAACATTCCATGATAGCAGAATAGATTGTTTGGATTGGATTGGAAAATTATAAAAATGAAGATGTGCAGAGGAATATTAGTAAACTAACAAGATTATAAGCAGTGTGTTTTATCTGTGTTGGTCCCAGGGCATGAGAGAGGCAAGGTGGGTGAGATAATATCTTTCATTGGACTAACTTCTGTTAGTGACAGAGACAAGGTTTTGAGCTTACACAGAGCTTTTTCAGGTCACCTTGTCTCTCTAAGATGATAAGTAATTATTTCAGTTGAACTGATTGATCTGTACAAAGCATTTGCAGTGTTGTATGTTAAGAACACAGCATAGTACAGGGATCAGCAACCTTTGGCCCGCAGCCCGCCTGGGTAAGCACTCTGGTAAGCGTGCCAGGCCGGTATGTTTACCTGCCGCGTCCGCAGGTTCGGCCAATCGCAGCTCCCACTGGCTGCAGTTCGCCGCTCCAGGCCAATGTGGCCAGCACATCCCTCAGCCCGCACCGCTTCCCGCAGCCCCCATTGGCCTGGGACAGCGAACTGCGGCCAGTGGGAGCTGCAATTGGCCGAACCTGCGGACGCGGCAGGTAAACAAACCAGCCCGGCCCACCAGGGTGCTTATCCTGGCGTGCCGCATGCCAAAGGTTGCCGATCCCTGGCATATTACTTACAATCCATGGTAAAGGACACTTTAGAAAAACTTAAGAAAGATAGCTAGATAGATCTGAAAATAATAGATGATAGCAATTCTAACCATTATAATCATAGAATATTAGAATATTAGGATTGGAAGAGACCTCAGGAGGTCATCTAGTCCAATCCACTGCTCAAATCAGGACCAACACCAAGTAAATCATTCCAGCCAAGGCTTTGTCTAGCCGGGCCTTAAAAACCTCTAAGGATGGAGATTCCACCACCGCCCTGGGTAACCCATTCCAGTGCTTCACCACCCTCCTGGTGAAATAAAGTTTCCTAATATCCAACCTAGACCTCCCCCAGTGCAACTTGAGACCATTGCTTCTTGTTCTGTCATCTGCCGCCACTGAGAACAGCCTAACTCCATCTTCTTCAGGTAATTGAAGGCTGCTATCAAATCCCCCCTTACTCTTCTCTTCTGCAGACTAAATAAGCCCAGTTCCCTCAGCCTCTCCTTATAAGTCATATGCCCCACCCCCCTAATCATTTTGGTTGCCCTCCGCTGGACTCTCTCTAATTTGTCCACATCCCTTCTGTAGTGGGGGGACCAAAACTGGATGCAGTACTCCAGGTTTGGCCTCACCAGTGCCAAATAGAGGGGAATAATCACTTACCTCGATCTGCTGGCAAGGCTCCTACTAATACAGCCCAATATGCCGTTGGCCTTCTTGGCAACGAGGGCATACTGCTTACTCATATCCAGCTTCTTGTGCACTGTAATCCCCAGGTCCTTTTCTGCAGAACTGCTGCTTAGCCAGTCGGTCCCCAGCCTGTAGCGGTGCATGGGATTCTTCCTTCCGAAGTGCAGGACTCTGCACTTGTCCTTGTTGAACCTCTTATAATAATCTTGCAAAACAAGTTCCATTATAATTTCCTTTTTTTCACACTCCTGTAACTTTCTGAAGTTTTGGGGTTGAACTTTTATGCTTGGCAGGATAGAGCAGTGGTTTGAGCATTGGCCTGTTAAAGCCAGGGTTGTGAGCTCAATCCTTGAGGGGGGCCATTTAGGAATCTGGGGCAAAAATCTGTTTGGGGATTAGACCTGCTTTGAGCAGGGGGTTGGACTCAATGACTTTCTGAGGTCCCTTCCAACCCTGATATTCTATGATCTTTGGGGGAGGGATAGCTCAGTGGTTTGAGCATTGGCTTGCTAAACCCAGACTTGTTAGTTCAGTCCTTGAGGTGGCCATTTAGGGATCTGGGGAAAAAAAAAATCTGTTAGGGACACTACTTGGTCCTGCTAGTGAAAGCCAGGGCCGGCTCTGGCATTTTGGCCGCCCCAAGCAAAAAAAAAACAGGGCAGCCGGAGCGGAACAAAAAAAAAAAGCGGCTGTGCCACCCTAGGATTGGGCCGAATGCCGCCTCCAACAATCTGCTGCCCCAAGCACCAACTGGTCCTGGTGAAAGCAGGGGACTGGACTCAATGACCTTTCAAGGTCCCTTCCAGTTCTATGAGATAGGTATCTGCCCACAGAGGAATAGTTTGGGAAAATTTAGACAAAATCCCTTCAGCCATTTGAATCATGAGAGCATAAAAAAACATTTTCCATTTTAAAAATAAATAAAATAGAACCATCTTCCTTATCCCATGGGGCTTACTCAAAAATAGATGAACTTTTGGCTTTGATGACTGATTAGGCTATAATATACAGTGTGTGCTTTGCTACATTTGAAAAAAAATACATAAAATTACAAATACTTGAAAATGCAAGACTCCAGATGCATAGAAGAACATTCTGTCAGTGCACATAGGTCTGACCAGCAACCACTGAAGTCAATAAGAGTGTGTTTTTTTTTTACTTCAGTAGGCACTGGTCAGAGCCTAAGGTTACTAGTATAACTTCATTGATTTTATTTACATTGATGAGAGATCAGAAACATGCCCTTAAAGATAGATGTGGTGCCCATGAATTGTAAGTGCAGCAAGCAATTTAGCTCTGTACTTTTTAGTAGCCACTCATACCATTCCCAAAATTTGTTAATTGCAGAGGCTGAATAGATGCAGAAGGAGGTGGTGCTAGCAATTTGTGAAGGCTGCATTCCTTGGAAACTTGGTCAATTTGTTTGAATGAAGCAACAAAGAAATTGTGCTGGGAAATGTGGCAGACAATTAACACAATCAGAAGTTGTGGCTTGTAAGATCTGCCAGCAAACTAGTTCTTCACTAAGGATTTGACAGGCCCCACAACACATGAGACCTCTGTAGCTCTATTCCTCTAAAGCTTAGAAATCCACAGGACCTGAACTTTTGAAAAACATCAGAGGACATATTTGAATGGAGGCTTCACTATAGCTATGGGTCAAGCATCTTACAAGTACCATTGACAAAGCCTGGAGATCTTGCAATCTTAATCAAATCAAATCCTTTAGGACTGTGCAGCCTGCTTTTCCAGTGCACCTAGCCCATAATGTTGGCTGGGGCAGAGGCAGGCCTGGGGAAGAGGCCCACTTTCCTGCTCCCGTTGAGGTGATGATCATCCCTTAAGAGTCTCTGTGCATCCTTAAGCACAGAAGCTGTATTTTTCCCCTGGTCCTTGCACAGGGCTGGCACAGGAAAAGGCTCCATCCACCCTCTGACTCTTCCCCCCCACGTACACACTCCCAATTACAATCTGCCCGCTAGTATCTTCAGGTCCTTCTAACCTCAGAAAATGTAAACTTCCATGTATTATGTATATTGTAAACAACATGGATGAACAAAATGGGCACTTTAACAGTGCAGAGAAATCTTTCCTTTACAGAACTTGCTGATGTCTGAGTGCTTATTTTCCCCAGTCTTAATGTTGCATTCAATTTTTTTGTTGTTGTTGTTTCATTTAATATGTGTTGTAATTTCAGACTGTTCAAATTCTTAACAGTGATTGCCTGGCAAGCAGCAATTCTCTAGTTCCCTTTACTTGCTTTAATTTCAGCTCCATCAGAAGTTGGCACACTTTCTCTGTAGGCATTTTTAGAGACATTTAATAATCATTCAAAGTACTTTGGTTTCATTTACTTCCATTGTCTAAATTATTTTCCTTTATGTGTTAGAGTTTAAGAAATTAAAGTAAAGTAGTACTGAACACTGCAGAGTAATTTTTCTCCCCAGATAAAACGTTTAACTCTAGTGCAAGGTTCAATACAAAACACTGTGCAAATACATAAGGCATAATCATTGGTTTCCTGATCATTTAAAATTGTTATCATCGACACTGTGTGCAGTCTGCTCAACCGAGTGCGATAATACAGTAGCTGTGTACATTGAGAATAAATATACAATTGATGGCTCAGATTGGATTCTCTCTATTGACACTTCTAGAAATAAAAAAGAGGTAAATGTGACTTTCTGTCTTGTAGGTCCGCGAGGAGCCAGAGGTCCACAAGGCCCTGAGGGTTTACCAGGTGCTATGGGCCCGCCAGGCACACCATCTGTCGCTCATGGCTTCCTTGTTACCAGACACAGCCAAACCATTGAAGAACCAGAATGTCCATCTGGAACTAAACTGATGTACTATGGCTACTCCTTACTTTACGTACAAGGCAATGAAAGGGCACATGGTCAGGATTTGGGTAAGAAATAATAAAATAAATCAAATCAAATAAGATGTTAGCATGCATTACTGATGAGTGTGTAATGCAGCTTAATTTCATTACAGACGAAACAAATATTTATCTTATTCGTAGGCTCATACTACACTATGTAGAGCACAGACTGCATAATAATCATACTTACTTATAGCTATTATAGTGGTTTACCCTTTTCCAGCACTGCACAAACATGCCCTGAGGAGCGTGATGGGACATACCCCCATCCCACTGGTAGAAAGGCTTATGTGCACCTGCAGAACATGCTCCACCTGAAGAAGGAGAGCTTAAAAAGGTGAAACAAGCCACAGAAAAGGGGGGAAATTTGCCTGGTAGCAGGAATGCTGCTAGGGACTGCTAGTGAGCTCTAGTAGCAAGGGGAGCTCAGTCTGAGGCAGTGGCCAGCCTTTCCTTCCCCCCGACTCCCCACACCTTCAGCTTTCGGCAGAGGAAGATTGACATTACAAGCTTATTACCGACAAGGGCCCTGAAGGGCTGCTTCCCATCAGTGACCTGTGGCAGGACCTGGAAAGCACCTCCTGGGATTATAGAGACAAGTGAACTGTAGTTGGACTCTGAAAAGACCCCGGCAGTGAGCTGAACACGTGCTGGGAATAGTGAGATTGCCCACAAGTGGGGCTCCCATAGGCAGGACTTAAATTCAGCCAGAGCTGTCCAGAGCAGAGCTCCAGTAAATATTTTCAACTTCCCTGGAATTTTTATAGCAAGTTGGGGGTGGAGGGGCCTGGGGGCCCCAGAAAAATACTCCATGAGAATTTAAGCCCTGCCCATAGGGGACCTAGGGGCAAGAGACTCAATGAAACTACAGCCGAGCCCAGGGTATGGGTCAGCTGACTACAAGGAGACAATGACTTCTTTGATCAGAGAACCTCAGGCATTCAAGGCATTGCACATGTATAATATATTTGATTGCTAGTTTGGGTAATTACCAGCTAGTAATCAAAAATATCATCTTTGTTTAATGTAAATGTATTGGTGTTACTGAAAAGCCCTTAAGTTTTGCATTCCCTGACTTTTTATATTTAAGTTTGTGATCTTATTGTTGCTTTAATGTATCTTTTGGCATCTGATAAACAAATATACAATTCTAGAGGCAACCATTATATAAACTTGACTTCCATGGAGCTGAGGGGAAAAATTATTTTAAAGTCTGATTGTGGTCTGCCATTGGGATTTATACAGGAGCAAAATAAGCTAGCCCTCCCCTCTCAGACTGATATCAGAACCTCCCTTATGCTCTCACCATCCTGCTGGAGCGAGCCGGGAAGTGAGTTTCAGAGTCAGGGTTGCCATGTTAGCACTTTAAACATTGTGCACTGTCATCAAAATTGCATTGATTAAAATATGCCGTTGCCAAATATTCACTGGAACAGAGTTTTACACATTAACCTTTTTATTACACTTTCAGGCACAGCAGGGAGCTGTCTTCGTAAATTTAGCACTATGCCATTCTTGTTCTGCAACATCAATAATGTATGCAACTTTGCATCAAGGAATGACTATTCCTACTGGCTGTCTACTCCTGAACCCATGCCAATGAGTATGGCACCTATCACTGGTGACAATATCAGGCCATTCATCAGTAGGTGAGTATTGCTCTTGCTGCATTGGTTATGAATATGCAGAAGACCTATTAAAAATAGAGCTGGTCAAAAAATTTTCGTCAAACTTTTTTCATATCACTCAGACTATCCTGATTTTATTTTCAATTAAATGACTGAAATTTTTCCATATTGATTTGAATTAAAATGAAAATATTTTGAGTCTCCACACTTTTTCCACTGGAAAAAGTGAAGAGATCCCAAGCCAAAAAATGGTTATTTGGATTCATATGAAACAAAAATATTTATTTTGAATAAATTCACTGAACAAATATAACAGGAAATTTTGAATTAAACAGAAATTTTGATTTTTATTCAAAATTCCAAGGGGAAAAATAATTTCTGTTTTTATACTCAGCTCTAATTAGAAGCACTTTGTGGCTCAATATCTTTTGAAAATATATCAATGTCTGTTTTAACTATCATGCAATATGCTGCATTGTTTTGGACATTGCTTTGGTGCTTGAATACAACTAGGGTTAGTTTAAAGCAAACAATATTGCAAAGGAACCCGGTGTAGTACTGTAAAGCAATCATGTACTATTTGTAGAACTGACTCCTCAGCTGGTGTAAACTGATGTAATTGCATTGAGCTCATTTGAGCTGCACCAGTTTATATCAGCTGTGGATTTGGTCCCATTTTTTTTTTAATTTACTAGCATAAAACATGCACAAGGCTTAAGGCAGAAGAGATCACATGAACTTAGTGGGCTGCACCATTCTGATTTAATTAGGATCTGACAAAGGAGCTCCAACATCTTACTAAATTGATAATCATGACACACAGGGGTCAGGCAGGGCCTTTATAGGCCATCCTGATCCTAGAGCAGGGGTAGGCAACTGGCACGTGAGCTGATTTTCAGTGGCACTCATGCTGCCCGGGTCCTGGCCATCGGTCCGGGGGGCTCTGCATTTTAATTTAATTTTTAATGAAGCTTCTTAAACATTTTATTACTTTACATACAACAATAGTTTAGTTATATATTATAGACTTATAGAAAGAGACCTTCTAAAAACATTACAATGTATTACTGGCACGCGAAACCTTAAATTAGAGTGAATAAATGAAGACTCAGCACACCACTTCTGAAAGGTTGCCGACCCCTGTCCTAGAGTGTGAGGTTATGCCTATGCAGCAGCTGGGAGGATGCTTCCCAGCTTGGATGGACAGACACATGCTAGCTCTGCTCAAGCTAGCATGCTAAAAATAGCAGTGTGGCTACAATGTCATGGGCAGCAGCTCGGGCTAGCTGCCCAACTACCCAGGAGGTTAGGTGGGATTTAACTCAGGCAACTAGTTCAACCAACCACTTATGCTACTGCATCCATACAGCAGTTTTTAGTATGCTAGCTCAAACAGCGCTAGCATCCGCATTGGGAAACATCCTCCCAGCTGCTGTGTAGACACCCTAACAACTCCTGTGCTCTCTCCCTACCATGGAGATGAGTGGGAGTGGAAATTGCTCTGGTGGGCTTTCCGAGGGTTGGAGCATGACACATTTGTCTATGTATATTAGCTATCCAGACAATTCTAAGGTAACATCCCCCATTGTAGGTATCCAGTGTATCAGAGTACTTAATATGGCGGTTTGTTTCTCATATAACATGAACAAGCTAAGGGCCAATTTTTAAAAAGGATTCATAAGAATGAAATATCACTCCTTCTGCATGGCAACATAACTTTGTGTGTTCCCAGACTTGGAGTTTTATGTGTAAATTGTGTAGTTGGACCCAACTTATGCAAATATTACTTCTGTACTTAATTCCCAGTTTTTTGACACCCAAAATGCCTCAAAATTTGATTGTACAGATTTTGGCCAAGATTAAAAAAAAAGGAGTAGAGATTTGGGTTGTCTGCCTTTTTTTGTGCCCTACTGGAGATGCCTAAAAAGGATCTAATTTTCAGAAAATGGTGAGTGCCCACCCTCTGAAAACTAAGCCCCATTAACTTGTTCATGTAAGGTACCCAAAATCCCTTGAGTCACTCTTGAAAATCTTGAACAAAGAGACCGCTGTTGAAATTTGCCCTTAAACTGCCCACTATCCTATGCATACAGAACAGCTTTCCCTTGAACCCTGGATTCTAAAAGAATCTACTGTGCCAAGAGTTGCCATGGAAAGGTGGTGTAGAGTGAAATTATTTTAATATGTTCTTTTGTATCTGTGCTGTAATCTCAAAGCAGAAGGCTATCTTCATAGTCTGACAGTTTCTTTTATTATTTGAGACTGTTCAACCACCATCATCCTGCATCGAAAAATTGAAAAGATGTAAAAGTGGCACTTGCCTGCCCTGGTTCAAGAGACTTCCTTTGTCCCAAAGTCATTCATTGATGCACCAGAAATCTCTTGAAGCAAAGCTAGTACCAGGCGCCTTTTACATTCTATTTTTTCCTCTTTCATTGCTGTGCTTCTTAAAATAACCATGTCGTTTTTGTGCTGGAGTTCTAAGCAGTGTGTGAGTCCTTTTATGTCAAATGTAGATGCCTTCACTCTGAATTTCTTTGCTTTTGTGGATTTAACAGAACCCAGCTTACTCCTGCTTGTTATACTTAATTTCTCTGTTGCTCTGATAATGCAGTCCAAAGCTGTTCATCTTAGGTATCTGGTTTGAACCAAAAGGGCCAGTGCTAATTAAAAGTGGCTATTTTTAGGGCTATGCTGCAAGGAAGGAATTAGTGGTCCCAGTCAAATTCATAATTAGCAGGAGCCCGTATGATTATCATTTGCATCATAACTGGCATTTATTAGTACTTTGTTTGGCAGTCTTAGCAAAGAGAGAGAGACACCCACCGAGGAGTTAGTGAGCCTGAGCCTCCTGCTTATTTTGGGAGCCAGCAGGTCAGAAGTAGAATCTACATACCTGAACTAAAAGCATCTTTGTTTGTAAACCTCTCAGAATGTTGGTTTCTTAAGCCCAGTGTTCCAGTTGGTTGGCTAAGTTGTCCTTTATTCAGCGATAAGGACCCCAGACATAAACAAAAGTCATCTTTAAAGGGAATACATATGGAACCCTCCTCTGTACATGTTTCACTGGCCTTCCCAATAAGTCTTCACTTCCTCAAAGAAGTGCTGGTGTTCTCTCCAGAAGTCATATAAGTCTACAGCTAAAGCAATGTGTTGCTCCTATTTACTCCTGGTCTCACCAGACCTTCTTCTAGTTCTTTAGCCATTTTCCCTTCAGTGTTAATAACATTGCACATATGCTGGCTGTTGAAATTTAAAATTTAAAAGAGAAAAAAGGGTAAATGTATTGAACTATTCAGTTTATAATAATAAGGCCCTTCCTTTCCTTTATCCAGTGAAGACTAGTAGGATTAGTGACTCCAATGCTTAACTGGTTGGTCTTGTAAATTCTGAACTTGCTGTGCAAATAACTCCCGAAAAGAGGAAATAAATGTTACTATTCCAAGTACATTGAGTTCTTTGCTGTCATGTTCTTTATAGATGCTCTGTATGTGAGGCTCCTGCCATGGTAATTGCAGTTCACAGCCAAACAGTTCAAATACCATTGTGCCCTGAAGGCTGGATGTCGCTTTGGATTGGTTACTCCTTTGTAATGGTAAGTGCACCAGGATGTCACCTGGATCAGAAAAATAATTTATGCTGGTGTTTGATGTATTCCTGCTTTTAGAAAGGTACTGTCTGTCTGTGCCGTTGCAGGGAAACAAGGGTCAGAGGACAAGGTCTCTGCTCTTTTGGTGACTTTAGAAACGTGTTGGCTATTTAATTAATGTGAGAGAATAATTTAGTAACAATTCACTCTCTAGTTTCTAGCAAAGTAATTCCTCTCACAAAACACACTGTCATTCCCTTGTTTACAGCTTCAGCACAAATGCCAAGGACTAAATGAACATAGAAATTAACAGACCTTCCTATTGTCCCTCCAGTTCAGGGTTACAGCACCTTCACAGAGCAATATAGAGCCACTGCCTATGCTCTTCCTGATCTCTCCATGAATAGGACCTTTGTCTAATTGAATTTTTGATCCTTTGAGCAGTCTCTGGTGTGCTTCAGTACCAAACTTTATCTGACACAGTCTCTGGTAACGCAAGGCAATTCAGTTCTGTGGGCCCTATCACCAGTGGATTCCAAGATACTCTCCCTGATTGCCTTCACCACCATGCTCCTCCCAGAGCCCAAGATACCCTGTCCCTGGGACCCATTCCTCCCATTTTTCCCCGACTCCCATTGCTCCCAACTGGCCACCCATTATCCCAAAGCAGGAGGAAAGAGCAGCAGCAGGTTCTCCACCACATTACTGAAAAGAGGGGAGGAAATGCATATGGCAAAGTATTGGTTTAAAAGAGTTACAACCTACTGTCACTAAGGGCTTGTCTACATTACCTGCTGGATCGACGGGTAGTGATCGATCCAGCGGGGGTCAATTTATCACGTCTAGTCTAGACACGATAAATCGACTACCGAGCGCTCTCCCGTCGACTCCGGGGGCTTGTCTACATTACCTGGTGGATCGACGGGTAGCGATTGATCCAGCGGGGGTCGATTTATCGCGTCTAGTCTAGACACGATAAATCGACTACCGAGCGCTCTCCCGTCGACTCCAGTACTCCATCAGGGCAAGAGGCGCAGGCGGAGTTGATGGGAGAGCGTAAGATGTTGACTTACTGCAGTGAAGATACCGCGGTAAGAAGATCTAAGTATGTTGATTTCAGCTCCATTATTCACGTAGCTGAAGTTGTGTAACTTAGATCGATCCCCGCCCCCTTCCAGTGTAGACCAGGCCTAAAGAGTTAGATATTTCTAATCTGGTTGATTTACTTGCATTTTCCCAGCATACCAGCGCTGGTGCTGAGGGTTCCGGACAAGCTCTGGCATCTCCAGGTTCCTGTCTAGAGGAGTTCCGCAGTGCTCCCTTCATAGAATGCCATGGTCGTGGAACTTGTAACTATTATGCAAATGCTTACAGCTTTTGGCTTGCCACTATAGAGAGAAATGAGATGTTCAAGTAAGTTATAATTGATTTTTCTTTCTAAAATCCATATTCACGGCTCACTATACATCTGTAAAAGCAACAGTGTGAAACTTACTTTAAAGTAACACTAGAATTGTTCTAGATTAAGCTTGAAAGATGAATAGCTATTGGTAGTCTATTTGGATTAAGATATACCAAATGAAATCTATTTACAGTATTCCTTTTAGAATGACCTAAGAGTGTTTGTACCTCCACCACACCTGTGTTTCACTTGTGTGATTTCAGTCGTAATTGGGATACACTGACATCTTGATAGAAATTATCCCAGAGCATAATCTCATCCCTAGTGGATATTAGCTCATAATAGAAGCACTTCAAACTAGCACAGCTGTTGACATCTCCTCGGAAAGGGTATGTGTGCATTGCTAATAAAAACCTGTGGCTTGCTTGTGCCAGCTGACTTGGACTCGCAGGGCTTGGGCTAATAGGGTATTTAATGGTGGTGTAGACGTTCAGGCTCGAGCTGGAGCCCAGGCTCTAGGATACTGTGAGATGGGAGGGTCCCAGAGTTTGGGCTGCAGCCCAAGCCCAAACATCTACACCATAGTTAAACAGACTCTTAGCCTGAGCCCTGTGAGCCCGAGTCAGCTGGCATGGGCCAGCCATGGGTGTCTAATTGCAGGGTATACATACTCAGAGAGGCAGAGAACTGAATGAGCTTGAACAATTATTTATCATTCACCCATGAGCTTCACCCTGTGCAGATGGGCCTATGCACAACTTCTGTACTATTTAGGCTCTAAATTGAGAATTTAGTGATGCAAAGCCTTGTGCTAGCTGCTACCCAAGAATAAATATCGCTCTTTAGTTCAATGAAGGCTACTCAGAGAAAAAGAGAGAAGAATGAGCATCATAGTTACTTTATTCCTTATGTCCCTCACAAGGAGAGAACAGTAAAACTTGGCATCCCTTTCTCTTTATGAACACCACAGAAACAGTCCTAGTTTGTACATCATATATCCTTGGGTAGGGGACCAATCCTGCAACCTTACTTCATGTGAATTTGAATTGGAGGCTTGATGTCCGGATTATTAAAGGCACATAGTCAATAAAAAAAATCACACTTCTGTCTGAAAATATTTTACCCACTTTTGTTTTTAATAATTTCTTATAACTAAAGAGTTTAGAGAGACAGATCTTTTTCAGTTTGTTTTGTTTATTTTGACAACACTTCGTATATAGTCATTCCCCCCTGCCAAGTTAACAATAAACTTGCAAACTGATATTTTTGTATTAGCAGTTATTGATGGTTGTCCATTTTTTTCATAGGAAACCTACTCCTTCAACTCTGAAAGCAGGGGACTTGCGCTCAAACGTTAGCCGTTGTCAAGTCTGTATGAGAAGAACATAATGACATTTGAATTTCAACTAATGTCACAATATGGTGCTATTTGTTTAACTGCAATGAAGCTTAGATGTATATCATATGTACCTCATTGTTGTCCAATATGAAAACAGTAAAGTGCCTTATAGGAACTTGCATAACTAACACACACTGCTTTACTGGCTCTGTACTTGCTGAAGAAGAAAAGAGACAACAAAGATAAGCTTCAAATACCAAATGGCACTTTTGGTAAAAGAAATGTTTATGTAAATGCAATGCACTGACAGTATAAAAAAGCCAGAGTTCATGCAGAAAAATTCAAAGGTGCTAGGAAGTATGTTGTTGTGCCTTACTTTTGACTCCCCTTTCTTGTACTATATATTTAGATTCATTTCTCCTACCCAGATACGTATGCTATTACCATTGTCTAGCTATCTCAAAATTCCAGACTCTTAGGTATGTACTTATTGTTCCTGTACAAAGTAATACTAATATAAAGAAGAGTTTTGTGATTACAGATTATGTATCCATATTTTCAAAACATAGGGTGCCATCTAGCTTGCTTTTCTATTTGTAGTGCTTACTTCCACCCTAGTCCTATTGGTTTCAGTGGGACTATGCTCCAAAGGAAGGGTTTGCCAAACTAGTTTCACAAATGGGCAATTAAGTGTTTCTGCTATGTTTGGTACTATGCAGCTTCTTCATGCAGTGGAACAAATTTTCCTGTGGAATAAAGAATGGTCCAATTGTGGTTAGGAAAATATATATATATATATTAGTAATTTATATAGGTATCAACAATTAGGCAAATCAAGCTTTGAGTTTGCTACAATTTCAAAAAGAAGCTTACATAATTTTTCCTCTTTTTCAATACAGTGTCATAAATTAGATGTTAAATGCCAAAATACTTAATGTGAAAAATCTGTTTTCTTTCACTCATTTCAATACCTAACTGTAAATTGCAGAGAATGAACCCAGGTTAATGACTATTTGTGTTTATTATAGTAAAACGTGCTTTGAGCTTACAGTGTTTATTCTGTATTTAATATTTTCAGGGTTTTAAAAACTAATCACACACTGAATGACTTGATTTTCAAATTTAAAAGGCCTTAATTTTGTTAATATTCCCCCAAAAAAGTTTTTTGAAGTGTTCAAAGAAATAGTTCTATTGGATCTCTATGCAAATATTCTGATGTTTGAGCACAGATGTGTCTAAAACTATTTTATAGACTATAACCATGCAAATACCAAAATATTTTTGAGAATGCCAAGGCCTTTTATGTAATTTCTTAAATGTGTATTTCTTAAAAAAATCAAATTTGTAATAAAACTATTTGTGTAAAAACTTTTTTTTTACTAATTTGTTACTCCTGTTTACCCAGTAACAATAAATTATTTCTTAATAAGCCACTAATAAATGCACAAGCTTGATGCAACCGTAGATCGCTTTTGTTCTGCACATCTTGCAATCATAAAATATTTTTGACAGGAGGAAATAAGGAGACAGCTCTGACACCTTACAAGAACTAGTAATGGAAGGCAAAACATGGTTGACACGTTATCGACACAGGTCTTATGTTGAGATGTTTTTTTTTTTTTTCAAATTAAAAATCTCACTTGAATGAAATCAGAGTTCAAAAAGCTAGCAGTACGTATTTCTCACTCTTGACTCTTTTGTGCATGTAGTGAGGCAGAATGGCCTCCCTCCAAACTGGAGAGCGAGGGACCACTACAGTCCTCCTGGGGGCAGAGCTGAATCTGCCCCGACCCAGCACTGGAAGTCCTGGGGTGGGACAGGAAGTATAAAAGGAGAGCCCTGAAGCTCAATAGGGGGCTCAATGAGCAAAGATCTTTGCAGGAACCCAGTCTAGCCCCTGAGTGGAGCTGTGCCCTGTGGTCGGAGATGGACTAGTATTGCAAGGAGCTTCCAGGACCGCTGTCAGACGTCTACTCTGTCTCCTCAGGGACTTGGCCACTGGCAGTCCCTACAGCTCCTCAGAGGACCTTTTGACCATGGAACCCTACACCCTGACTGTGGTGGAAAACAACCCAGGTGACCCAGATTTTATTCTGGTTCTGCTGCCGAAGAGTGAGTCAGTGTGTTTCGGGAGGATCGCTGCCAACCCAGTGGCAGACCCATCTGCCATGGTTAGGGGCCTGGGCTGGGACCCGATACAGTAGGGTGGGCCTGGATCCCCTTAACCCCTTGCCACTGACCCCACCCCTGGGGTGGTGGCCAAACTCCCTCTTTTTGGCCAGAAGGTATGAGCTGTGTTGTGGAGCCATAGACTGTATGTGCTCTACCCTGCCCAGAAGGCCAGAACTCCCTTATAGACTGTTAGTTACTGTTCGCCCCAGCCAGGCGGCTGCAGTGTAAAGACTGTTTGTGGCTCTGCCCTACCCAGAGGACCGGAGTTTCCTCTATAGATGGTTACTTGCTGTCTGTCTGTAGTGAGGTGGAGTGGCCTCTCTCCCCACTCAATAGCGAGGAACCACTACAGTGCACCAAAGAGGACCAAAATCTATAAGATAAAATCCAAAATGTACCAGCTAGTGTTTTGCTTATGAGCAGGCAGACTGAATCTCAGATCTGGTTACCTGACAAGAAAATGTGATGGTTGTTCCATTTTTTACTAAGCAAAAGTAAATAATTTGTTAAAATTTCAGTTTAGTTTCATATTTTTGCCCCTTCCTCGTGGAGAGGAGGCTGCTGCCCTGTATTCACTTGCACTTAAAATCCTGAGTGCTTTGACTGTGTCTGAATTGAAATGGGCTACATGCTTCCATGGTGATTCTGTGCCCATGGAAGTCAATGGGAGTTTTGCCGGGGTCTCACTTTCCTTATACATGCCATCAAACAGTACACGGGCCTTATACTACCTTGTAGAGAAAGCATGTGTGTAATTAGGCTTTCATGTGAGTTTAAGCCTAGTCTGAGAAAACATCTTTTGGCTGGTGAAGGACTGAAGGGTTCACACTAACCTCTTTCTTTTCTTAATAAAAAACAATTTGACAGCAAGGCCTGCTTAAGCTTTGAAAGACTGGTTAGATAGTATTTAGAAGTCTTAATTATTTACTAGTGATTACTTATTTAGTAATCAATATCTACTAAAATGCTCTAAAAAAATGTCCTGCCCCAAATGCCCTTTGTACCAATGTCAATATGTACAGGTATAAGTGGGTGAAAGTCAGAAATAATGTCTGAGCACTTGCTTTTGATGACCTAGATGAAGCTGAATAGCTGCCCAGGCACTAAGGTAGAAAAGTGAAATTTTCATAGCTACCCGCTCTTATATTACAAAAGTATATAATCAGTAGTCATGTATTTAAACACTCAGGGCCAGCGTTGTTGCTTCAGTGTGGCTGATTATATGAACAGGAACTCTGAATAGATCATTTGTTAAAATAAAGTTATCTTGTATACACCCAGATTACACGATATAATTTTCCCAATAAAAATTCAATTCATTGTGTAAATCTGACTTGTATGCAGTACTTGAAGAAAACCCTTCATGTCCCCAATACGCTTCTAAAACTGCAGATGGTGCCCTTGTTCTCTTTATACAATACACGTTTATCTTCAGATTGTATATATCTAACAAATGCTCCTTTCCTGCTCGTCTCTCTACTTTCCTCCCCAAATTGGAGGAAAGTAGTTTTCAATATAAACAGACTGGATATATGCGTATGTTGACATGTAAAAATCTGATAAAATATTCCAAAATATATGTTGATACGAATAACTACATCCAATGGTTTCCCTAATATTTTGAACTCATGCAGATTTTCTAACAATTATGTAAGATCAGTTTCTAATTATGGGATTTATCATTTTGTAAAGGTAACTTCTTTGATGAAAAATATTTTCATACAGAATAGTTTCCCTGAGAGCAATATCCCCTTAGCAGTAGGGCCCTACCAAATTCACGGACCATTTTGGTCAATTTCACAGGCAGAAGGTTTTAAAATTATTCAATTTTACAATGTCAGATGTAACTGTGGGTGTCCTGACCCAAAATGGGATCATGGGGGGTTTCACAGGATTGCCACACTCACGTCTGTGCTACCCTCAGAGCTGGGCTCTGAAGGCAGCAGCCACCAAGCTTCCTGCAGCTAGAGGAGGTTCGTGGAGGTGGGTCTGATCTCCCCTGAGCTTCTTGGAGTGCCCCAGCTGGGAGCTCCTAGCTGCTAGTCCCAGCCAGTGGTGGATGAATGCAGGAGCCCTGGCCAATTGGGGGATCCCCCCAAAAAACGGGCACCCTGAGCCCAGTCAGGAGCTGTGGAGGGTGGAAACCCAAAACCTGGGTGTCCTGGCCAATTGGGGGATCCCCCCCAAAATGGGCACCTCAGCCCAGTCAGGAAACCCAAAGCCTGGGTTCCCTGAGTCCCGGCTGGAGCCACAGGGGGCAGAAGCCTCAAACCCGGGTGCCCTGAGCCCCGGCTTCAGCTGTGGGGCTGAGGCCCCAAGCCGGGGCACCTAGAACCCCGAGTCCTGTCTGCAGTCGTAGGGGCTGAAGCTCCGAGCCCAGTTTTGGGGCTGCTGCAGCACAGAAATGAGGGTGTAGCACCCTCATTTCTGCGCTGCCTTTGGAGGTGGGTCTGATCTCCCCACTGAGAGCAGCCATGCAGGGGAAGGACAACTTCTGTCTCTCCCCAGCCTGGCCTGGGCTAGCAGCTAGGAGCTCCCGAGTGGGGCACTCCCAGCAGCATGGGGTGATTGGATTTCACAGGGCAGGTCTTATTTCACAGTCCATGACATGTTTTTCATGGCCATGAAATTGGTAGGGCCCTACTTATCAGGCTCCTGGAAAAATGACAGCATGAAATGTGGGTTAGCTATTTTTAAACAAATATGCTACCGTTTTATGACTTTCTGCAAAATCATTTATTAACTCCTTTTGATATCATAAAAAATCCTGCTTAATCCAAAATTAATTGCACACAATGTCAGTGTCTATAAAGCATGGGGCCACTGATCATGAAATGATAGTTTATGATTCTAAGGAATAGTAGGAGGGAAAACAGCAGAATGAACTTTGAGAAGGCAGATTTTAGCAAATTCAGAGAATTGGTAGGTTAGCGCCCATGGGAAGCAAGTCTAAGGGGAAAAAATGAGTTCAGGAGAGTTGGGAGTTTTTTAAAGAGACCATGCTGGCTTAACGGAGATCTTCAGTGACCTGAAATTCAAAAAAGAATCCTACAAGTGGAAACTAGGTCAAATTACAAATTAAAACCACACAAGCATGTATAGACAAAATTAGAAAGGCCAAGGCACAAAATGAGATTAAACTAGCTAGGGACATAAAGGATACCAAGAAAACATTTACAAATACATGAGAAGCAAGAGGAAGACAAGGACAGGATAGGCCCATTACTCTATGAGGAGGGAAAGACGGAAAAAAACAGAAAATGCAGCAACGGCGAAAGTGTTAAATGCTGTTTTTGTTTCAGTTTTCACCAAAAAAGTTAGCAGTGATTGGATAACTAACATAGTGAACGTCATTGTAAATGGGGTAGGAGCTGAAGCTAAAATAAGAAAAGAACAAGTTAAGAATTACTTGGAGAAGTTAGATGTCTTCAAGTTGACAGGGCCTGATGAAATACATCCTAGAATACTTAAGGAACTGGCTGAAGAGCTCTGAGCCATTAGCAGAATCCAAATAAACTGAAATTTTCAGTATTTGGATGTTCTTCGAGTGCTTGCTCATGTCGATTCCATTCTAGGTGTGTGTGCGCGCCCACGTGCACAGTTGCCGGAGACTTTTGCCTTAGCAGTATCCATAGGGCCGGCTGTGGCACCCCCTTGAGTGCCATGCTCATGCGTCGGTATATCAGGCACCGCCGACCCTAGGTCTTCTCAGTTCCTTCTTGCCACCCGTCAGAGCGCCTTAGCTTGATTATCACTTCAAAAGTTTTTTTTCTCTTAATTAATTGGCCTCTCAGAGTTGGTAAGACAACTCCCACCTGTTTATGCTCTCTGTATGTGTGTATATATATCTCCTCAATATATGTTCCATTCTATATGCATCCGAAGAAGTGGGCTGTAGTCCACGAAAGCTTATGCTCTAATAAATTTGTTAGTCTCTAAGGTGCCACAAGTACTCCTGTTCTCCTCTTTCCTTTGTTTCACAACTGGTCAGTGGTTTTTCCTACTCTTCGAACCTCCTGTTCCAGCTGTAAATAGTTTGTTTTTATAGTAGATTAGTTAGTAAGTAGCAGTTAAGTACTGTAGTTAGTCAGTCAGGGTCCTGGCGGGGACTTTGCCTCAGGTGGGGCATGCCCCAGTCTCCGGGTTTTAAGCCCTGCTCTAACTGCAACAAGTCTATGCTTGTTAGGCTAGGTCTA